CAAGACTGCTGGATTTACTGTACAGCCAGAAATACTTCTAAAAATAGTTTTCTGCTCTTCTGGGGTTGGGGCAGGTGTCCTGGTTGTTCAGATCCCAGGGTTAGATCTAGTAGCCATAGGACTAACCAGTGTTTCTCCACCATCAATTCATGCTTCCTTCAGGCAGAGGTAAAATCCATCTCACTTATAGGTAATGGGGATTTCTTTCATATGACTAGAGAGAGAAAGCCATTTGTTCTTTTCCTGTGTGCATGTGGTAGAATCTCTAATTCTAAAACCAGCTTCCACAGCAAAAAGCTCTGCCCCAACATGAGACCACCCTTCATATCACTCGCTAATGTGAGTACTATGAGTGATATGTCTTCTAAATTTGCAGCTGTCGTGTCAAGATCGACTAGATCGCTCTGACAAAGAGCTAATTAACGCTCGAAACGTCAGCTTTTTAACACTTAACGGTGGCCACTTTACAATTTCAACTTAGTTGTAGTAACCAAATTACCTAGTAAGACAAGAGTTGTTTGCCGAGGTCGATAAAAAACGAGTCCTTTATTTTGCTCTGTTTGCTTCTCCGAGATCATCAGAAAAAAAATACACTACCGTGACTAACTCTGGCGAACACAATAACTTCATTTGGGTTTTTGTAAGTAGTTCACAATATCTGGATATTGAACGTCCAGAAGGAGCTAGGTGTTTTCGGAGAAATCACTATTTCTCAACGCATATCGGTCGAAGCCTTATACAGTTATTTTTTCGTGGTACCTTGACTTCGTGATACCTTGACTACCGTGACTTAGCTGAACGTTTTGTCTGCACATTTATTTTCATAAACAGTCAGTCAATGGGGCCAAAAGATAACAATGGCAGGACATTTCTTTAATTAAATCAATCCCCTTTTTAGACAAATCCTATGGCCCACTGATAACGTAAGATCGTGGTTTGGGTTAGACCCTGTGTTTATAAGTGGCCCTCGGTGTTTCACTCCGTAACCATGTACACAAGTACTTAAAAGTGACACGTCATTGGTTTGCGAAGAAAATAGCCTGCAATCGAAATCTCAATGAAAAGGTAAAGAGACTCTTTTCTCGAGGAGACTGTCACTTAATATCTTTTAATGTGTCATTTAAAACGCTGAATTTCAACTATTCATAGCAAAGATTTATATTAAAGGAAAGGAACAAATGTATTGTCTTAAAAAGTTAACACTTATTCTCCCAATTAAAGCTGATTTCTGAATATCTTGCCAATTTTTTTAGCGATAAAATCACCATTGAAAGCTTCTTGTACTTGCTCAGAACTAAAGCTGGTCGTTTACTTTTTTTTAGTGTAAATGCCCTCAATTTGTTCAAATTTCCTTCATTGTACTGCTGTGGTGCGCGGTGCCTCAGCCCTTGGCTTTAACAGGAAGGTTTAAGGACAGTTCATGTAATCATACTTGATAGCGAGACAGACACGAGGGCGGAAATAGATTCGACTAAGTCGTTCGAAACTGAAATTGGCAATCGACTGAGGACGCTCCGTGATATTTGATGAAGGGAGATTGAATTCGGAAAACCAAGGACGATTTTATTGAAGTAATCCTTGTTACATTTTGTGTTGAAGACGAGATTTTTGTTGGGAATCATGCAAAGGTATCTTGCATTTGCAATATTGGCACGAAGTCAACCTTAGACAATGAAGGCGCACAGTCTACTTCCCTTTTGCGTTATATTATTGTCGTTGCTGTCCTCTGTCCACGTTTTCTCGTTAGGAAATCACTCTCGAGGTAAGTTATAAAGTTGTTGTTTTTTTATAAATCTACCCCTTTGGGGTTTCGTTGCGTGCCAATATAACCGACTATTATTTAATTCACGTTCAATGGACGTTGCGTCGACTCGTTTGAAGGTTATTAAATGACCTAGTTGACATTTATCGGTAAGGTGACCTAGTTAGATTCTATTCGAATTTTAGAAGGACGTCTTTCAAGTTTACTTTTTAACGGTTATTTCTGTAAACATTACTGAATTGTTATCACGATCAGAATCACAGAATGTACACGGCTGATAAACTGAAGTTGTTGTGAGGGGAGGGGTGAAATTACAATAACTTCCCATTCTACATTTACGTTCGCCTGTTCTCATGATCCTACAGTATCTATTTCGTTTTTTTTTTTTTTCGGTGTTGTTGTGGTTGTTTTCTTTTTTGTTTAGGCCAGTCAATTCCTTTCCTTTTGAGCTGCAATTCGGTTCAATTCAGAAACGTAATTTGGTTCAAACGTAATCTTTTAGAGAGCCAGAAACAATATCTTCCATGCAGGATTCACTATTGGATGAGAACCTGTGAAAAACCTATGAAAAACCTTTGAATTTTTCTGTGAAAAAACCTGTGAAATACCATTTTTCACGTGTTTTTTCAAAGGTTTTTCACAGGGTGTGAAATTTTGAAAACCTGTGAACAGGGCACTTTTCACAGGGTCAAAAACCTGTGAAAAAATATGTGAAAAAAACTGTGAAATAAAACCTGTGAAAGAACCTGTGAAAAAACCTGTGAAAAAGAATATTGTTCTGGAGCTTTTTCACATGTTTTTTCACAGGGTCTAATATCTCAAAACCTGTGAACAAGGCACTTTTCACATGGTCACAACCTGTGAAATAACCTGTGAAATAAAACCTGTGAAGAAGAATCTTGTTCAGGAGCTTATTTACAGGCTCTAAAATTTCAAAACCAGTGTGAACATATATATGGCACTTTTCACAATCCTTTAACTGATTACATTGTGTTTGTTAATTCATTGGCAAAGTTTGACAAGCAATGACCTGTCATTGATAAGTAACATTCCTTCTCTTAACAATTGAGACATGCATGGGTCTCATGATGTTGGTGTTCTGGTTTACTTTTCGGTAAACAACCTTTCTGTCAAAAACTGGCAAGACTATGACATCTCACGGTAAACATAATGAAGTAACCTGGAGTACTACCAGATATACTCCAGATAAAAGCCCTGATACAAAGCCTTGCTTGTCTTTGAACTACTTCACTAGCTTGCTCTCATCGAGAGAGTGCACTCAAGCCACTGCAGTGCCACCACATGCACAATATTGTCATAATATATTGAATCCTTTGAAGTAAATCTTCATGACATGTTAATTTACAATAATTTGACCAAAACATCAAGCATCATTTAATGTTAAAATTTAATAGTAATGACATCAAAAAAGACCAAGTTGGACACATTTTGCCAAACATCATGATGGATGTAAATGAAATTGGTTTAGTTTACAGAAAATACTGTCAGTTACATTTGCAATTGCTCTAAAAGCTACCTCTGTATGTACTCCCTCTATAGCTCAAAACACACCACTTATAACAAATAGTTCTTTTATAAGCTACCTGGTGACTATT